ACCGCAGGAATGCTCGTGAGTAAACTCCACTTCCGGAAGCACTGGGCAGCCTCTTCTGAAAGTGACTTGAGGAGCTGAAACCTCCCAGTAGCAGGAGGAGCAGCTGTGTCTCAAGCATGTCACGGTCCCTGCTTAGCAGTGCTGGGGCCAGAGGACAAAAAGAACAACAAGAAATGCAGGTTCTCTGACTGTGTGGTTACTGTCGAGGATTTGGCTCTTGTTGGACAGCGCCCTGGCTAAACCGCATGATAATTACTGCCTGTTGCGGCTGCTCAGCCCCAGTGGGTTGACAGCGACGCCAATCCCAAGCAAGGCGTGAGCCAACCCTGTTCAAGGTTCGGTGAATGGCAGTCTAGACTGCAGGGAGCTTTGCAAGGAGATCACTAGGCAGAGTGCAGAAGGCGAGAGAGAGGTGGATGCTTTGGAAAAGAGGTTGGGACAGGGCGATATAAAGATGGGGAGCCTTCCCCTGCTCTGTTGCCTCCTGAAAAGTTACTTTATTTTCCTCAGTGGTGAGGAAGAAAAACTCTGGATCTTGTAGCAAGAAGGGATGTTAGCTGTCATCAAGTCCTGGCCCCAGAGACAGACTGAGGGTTCAGCAGGGATAGAGACTCACCATCTAGGCAGTGATATCAGAATGCCGATGAGATTCCAGCTGGGCTCTTTGCACTGTGTCCTGCCGCCCACCCTGAGCTGAACCCACACGAAAAGCAACACAGACTAGGGTTTCTTACTTTATTGCTCACTGCTGTGCATCCCATAGTAAGGCTTGGACATTGCTCCAGGTTCCCTTTTGCAAGGTGAAGGGCTGGAAATAGATGAACATACAGATTCCTCCCAGGTGCAAAGAGCAGGTAGCCCTGGGATGCGCTCACCCCCAGAGCAAGCAGGGGTTGGGGAGAGTCGAGGTGTGCACTCGCCTCATTCTACCAAACCCATCTGCGAAAGCTGCCCTCTGTGAGACCTGCTCACACGAAGGGGTCACAGGAGGCCAGGGTGGTCTGCTGACGCAGGGAGATCAGGAGCTGTCAGATGCCAACATCAAAACCGGAGATGTAAAATCTCAGAATGTGGACAATGGCTGGCTGGGAGAAAGTCCGTTTTACAAAAGGCAGGAGGAGAAGGTGAACACATTCGTTCTTTTGTGTTTGTCACACACGCAGCTCCAAGCTCAGCTCCTGGTCACGGAACCTGTAAGCACTCAGTGTTTCTTGATGGAATGAACTTACCTATTGGACCCCTGGGGACAGCATTCTGCTCTCTGGGTGCTGATTGGCCACTTGACAATGGGCAATGCCAGCACACAGGAGACTTGTGATCAGGCTGTGTGACCAACACAAACTCTAGAGATCAAAAGGTTCAGAAGGTGATCAGTTTTGCCTGGAGTTTGGACAAGAGAGACCCTGAAGAGTAGATGGCATTTGGCACAAAAGATGGGGTGGACTTGATCTGATGATGTTTTGATAAGAGTTTGGGGCAGAGGAAATGAAAAAAGAAATGAATGAGTAGGCCATGTGGCCCAGGGAACTATGGGAAACCTCGTGCTGATTGTGAGTAACATGACGTTTACAGTTGATTTGGGAAGGCCCTGTCCACTGGTTCTCATTGGAGCCAGCTGGGTTTGAGTTCGTCTGGCCCTTGGTGGGAAGGGCAGCCTGGTCGTGGATAGAACGATAGTGGTGAATTGAGCGTGAAGTAGTAAGGTGTCCCGTGCCTGCTGCCAGTGAGGCTGGAGCCCCAGAGCTCAGCTCAGAGGACTTGAATATTGATATGTGGGTGCAGGTGTGGGGTACTGAGCGTAAAGAACACGTCCTCAGGGCTGCTTGGCATCCCCAGGTTAGTGACAGGGTCTTCAGGCTGAGCTTTCTCTTGAGGAAGTCCAGAGCCTCTGTGTGGGGACCAAAAGCTATGCCAGCTGGGGCCGTGAGCTTTCTTGCCAACTACTCTGCTGGCTCAGCATTGGCCTAAACTTCAGGGCCTTTCCTGTTTCAGGCCCCATTTCCCCAGTCTCCGGAGGACCTGCAACTTCTGAAGCTGTTGCACTTGTTACAAAATGCTTTTTCCTAGAGCTGGGTCATTAATAAGTCTGCTGTAGTTGCAGTCAGAAATTCCTCCTGGGTTCCTCTATCTTCTCTTCTGTGCATCTCCCAGGAGCTTCCCAGGCCCTCTATGGGCTGGGTAATAGCTTCTTGTTTCCGGCACTTGGACCTGAAACATCAGTGCTTTCAGGAACTATCAGTTCTTTCTCTGAAAAGCCAGTCACCCTTCTGGAGTCAGAGGCGATGGCTCCAGCTGTTCAGTGCTAGAAATAAGCAGGCGCTTTTCTCTCCTCCACAGCTCCATCCGTGCTTTCTCAGGACAGAAGCCATTTTCTGTCCCTCTGAGATGTTTCAGCCAGTAGTTTCGTTCCATCTGGCACAAGGGCTGTCCATAATTCAACTTTTTGTTACCATTGGATTATATTCAGAAGCGTAGCAGAAGAGCGAAGAGGTTACGTCTGGAGCCAGACCCTCTAGACTGCATCTCAGCATTGTCTCCTGTGGCCTGAGTGATCCTGGGCAGATTACTTAACTTGTGTGTCTCCATTTCCTCATCTCTTCATCACCAGTAACAGAGAGTTACTAGTGAGCTTCAACTCATATACCAAACCGGTTGCCACTGAGTAAACTCTGATGCATGTGTCAAAGGAGAGCTGGGTTTTCAACGGCTGATTTCTTAGACATAGATTCATTCCCTGGTCTTTTCTTCCTGAGGTATTACTGGAGAGACCCCAATCTTCAGGTGGCTGCCAGGCACTTCAACCATTTGCATCACCCAGGAACCCCATCCACCTCAGAGGTGTGCAGTAAACCTAAACAAACAAAAGAGCTGTCATCAAGTCAATTCCGGTCGGTGGCTCCACTGTTCATTGAAGACAGGACTGTGTTCCCATAGGGCGTTCTAGGCCATGACCTTTCACAGTTAGAACTCCAAGCTCTTCTTCTTGGGTGCCTCAGGCTGGGTTTAGTTAGTAGTTGATCATTTAACTTTTTGCCCAACCCAAAGGCTCCTCAGTAAAACCTAGTTTATTACTATTTATTACTTCGTTCATCAGGCCGTTTTCTCCTTCCCTTTGGGATCTTAAGAATTCCATCAGAATTAGTCCCTTTTCTTACCAAGAAAAATTCCCAAGAGAATGTTTCCCGTTACTAAGAGCCTCCCAAGGAGAAACCCCTTCAGCCTGTTAGCTCCAGCCATGATTTTCCAACTCCCCAGCTCTGTTTATGTGGATTTTTGTTCACCTCCAATAACTTCTCAGTCCATTCTCCACCCCACCAGGACCAACTCCTTAGGGAGGGATCTAGTTTCTTCCTGAGGTTGTGCCCAAGTTAGGAAATTCTTCTTTTCCCTCTCTTAAGAGTGGAGGGCACGTGTCCCCAGGGGCTTTGGTAGAAGCTGAGAGATGGGTTCAGAGCCTCCACTTCCTCGCAGGCCTCCCTTGAGTTGGATGACGAAAGCTTTGACAAGTGTAAAGTGACACGTAGATCTAAAGAGGTGATCTTCAGCTCCAGCAACACTTTAGAGCCGTCAGGAGACATTTTTTTATCAACGCCCCTGCTGTCCTTCGCCCATGATTCTGATGCCATTGCTTTGAGGTGGAGTCCACCTCCCATGTGGCTCTTATGTGCAGCTGCAGTTGCGAACCCCGGGTCTACAAGATCCTAAACACAGGAAGAGTGAACTGAGCTGACCTTCTTCCTCTCATCTCCCCCTGGCCTGGCGCTGTCTGAACTGGGAGTGGGCTCTGGTGTGCTCTCTCTCTGGCGGCCCGCACGTCATTGCCACCACGACAGATTTGGGTAGCTCTGGGGTAACAGCTCAAAGCCCTATGTGACCAGGCAAAGCTGGCTTCTAGTCCGACTGTCAATCTAGGCTCTGCCATGTGACGTCACCTGGCTTCCATAGCACTCATCTGTAAAATAGAACTAGGAATATTGTCCTTATTGAGATATTGTCACCTTTAAAGGACAGAATACGTAATGAGTAACACATTGTCTGGCACATAAGGGGTGGCCTTCACTACTCTTGGCTTGCTTTTACTTTTATATGTGGGATTTCAAGACATCTGTCTCCCTCCTCAACACAGAACCAGACAATGTTATAGATAAGATTCTGTGAGTTGGAGCCAACATCATGGCACCTAAGAACAACCTTTGTAGGAGCCCCATGTACTCGTTCTGAGTATTTCTGGCTCTCGGTGATAACCTTACAAAGGTTTATGGGAACGTCCCACTATTCCCTTTCTACAGATGAGGAAAGTATGATTCGGAGACACGAAGACCCTTGGCCAGGGCCTCTCAGCCCGAGTCCAGGCCTCCACAGCTCATTTCACTTCATCTCTGTCTCTCAGCTCCACCTTTAGCTCATGAACTGAAGCCCCAAAGTCTCTACCACACGATGCCAGAAAATCATGTTGCCATTTTGAATCATGCAGATTTAAAATGCTGTGTGTCTGTGGAGAGAAAAGGCAAAATGGAAATGACAAAGGATAAAAAGAGAGGGGAAAAAAGAGAAAACAGGACAGTGCTTGCATTCTTGGAGCCCATGATGGGACCAGCCAGGAACTGGAGGTGTTCCCAGCACCCACATAGGAAGGGCAAGGAGAGTGGGAGTGACTCACAGCCCCTGTTTAATAGGACCCAAGACAACAGTGGCGTCAACAGAGCGGTGTGGAAGTGAGCCTAGGACTCACCTTCTGACAGTCAAAAGTGGTAACAGCAAAATGGCCCCAGGGATCAAAGCATTGTCATAAAGGAAGACAGGGACAGAGCCAGCAAGGCAGTGGCATCACCCATCAGTCAGCGCTGCACCAACTCATCGTCTCCGCCCCAACCCCACCTCTGGCACACACCCCCGTTAGTCAGAGGGCTGGGGGGCTGCAACACATGGGAGGGGCAGGCCCATGCAGTGCTGAGCTGGCACAGAGAATGGGGAGTGGACACGAAGGACAGGGAGCTGGTATGGAGGACGGGGAGCTGGTACGGAGGACAGGGAGCTGGTACGGAGGACGGGGAGCTGGTACGGAGGACAGGGAGCTGGTACGGAGGACGGGGAGCTGGTACAGAGGACGGGGACCTGGTACGGAGGACGGGGAGCTGGTACGGAGGACAGGGAGCGGACACAGAGGACAGGGAGTGAGCACGAAGGACAGGGAGCTGGCACCGAGGATGGGGAGTGGGCACAAGAATGGGGAGCAAGCACGGAGGATGGAGAGTGGGCTCAGAGGACGGAGAGTCGGCTCAGAGGGCGCAGAGAGGGCACAGAGGGTGGGGAGAGGGTCTACTACACTAAGGGAGGGGTCTCTAGCCAATCCCACCCACAGGCATGTGTGTTTGATGCCTTGAGTCATCCAACTGGGTGACACCAACTCTCCTGACTCCACTGACCTGAGACCTGCCTCCAGGGCCAAGCAGAGCTTTAACCTGCTCTGGGAGCTCAAGGAGATGTCTTCCCTGTGCTGGGCCTCCGTCTTCCCACCTGGCATCAGGGAATATTGGATGATGCCACTGCTTTTCAAATTGACAACTGTCACCCACCAGCAAGCTGGGAATTCAATTTAGTGACTTATGAATGGAAGTATAAAAAAGAAATGAGTAGAAGAGAAAATGTCAGAGTTCACTGTGCACAGTAAGGGTCATTGTTTTGTAAAGTATTGTTTTTAAAAAGAATTTTTTTCAGTATTGTTTTATGTGACTTCATGTTTGTTACAGATCTATGTATGTTGACACTGGAATATTTATTCCTTAATGAGGCAGCTCTGATGGCCGAATGGCAAGAAGCTGTACTGCAATCCCAAAGGCACACAGTTCAAACTCACCAGGTGCTTTGCGGGAGGATAGACAATCTCCTCCCATGTGATTAACAGCCTCTGAAAAACTGCCAGAGAGTCAGTTATGGGTCGACAACAATGTGGTCTCCATAAAGGAAAGAGAGAAAAAATACTTTGTAAGCTCCTTGATTAAATGATTTTAGCATTCCTTCTTGCTGCTGTGTACCACTGGTCAGAACCAACTCATAGCTAGTTTTTCAGAGGAAATTGCTTATCTTTTTCCTGTGAAGCAGCCTGTGGATTCGAACCATGTACTTTTGCATTGGTAGTATAATTAATTCTAAATAAAAATGCACCACTGTCAATTGGCAGGATGTAAGAAGAGGCTGAGAGTTAAGGAGACATTGGGATGTGAGTCACGCTGGGCCACCCACCAGCTCCTTTGTGTGTGGTCTTCCTAGGAAAGAAGGTGGGAACCTCAGTCTCACACCTAACAACCAAGGGAGTCTCATTTGTTTGTGCAGACAGACAACATGATGGTTGAGCCAGGCTGAGAGAGGTCGAGATAGTTAACTCTTAACTCCCTTCCTGAGGGTCAGAGGCTGTTCTGGGCTTCCCATGTCACCCTTGCCAAAATGGACTCCATAAGTTGGCGAGAGAGAAACATTCCTAGGGGTACCAGCCCAGGTTTGGCTCTGAAGTTCAGTAAAACCCCGAGTCATGATAGCTTTGAGAAACAACCAAGATGGAAGATTATTTTTTTCATTGCACAAGAGGTCTGGAGGTCGGCAGTCCTGGGCAGGGGGACCGCTGCACAATCCTCAGGGCCCTGGCTCTCTCTCCTCCCCTCAGTATCCTAGCATAAGGCCTCGCGTGCCAAACCAGCGACCAGAGCTTCATGTCTTCACACCCACACTCCAGGCAGCAGGATGGGAAAGGGGGAGGGACGCAGGCAGAGGCCATTTGCCATCTGTTTTTAAAAAAAAAAAGACTTTCAAAGGAATTCAAAAGAGATATTCAAACAAATGTTTGTGCTCAGTGTACATAGCAGCACTATATTGCCAAAGAGTGGAAACAACCCTAGAATCCATCAACAAAAAAGGGCGGGATACTGTGCTACATGTAAAAAAAAAGCATACAAAGTCAAAAGGGCAGCATTTGCTCAAATGTAAAAGTAATAAAGCTCAGAAAGCAGGAAGGAGTAAGGAAGAAGGATTGATGGAAATGAGAATCACAGGGAGGGCGTGGGTAGAGTGTAGATACATTATGAGTGTTGTAATTAGTGTATATAAATGGTCGAATGGGGGAAAATAGGACTGGATAAGTACAGCGTGGAATATACGTATCATGGGGTTAAGCCCAAACCACCCTAGTGCACTGCAGTCAGGTCGATCCTGCATCACAGTGATGCTCCGTTGTGTTCCCAAGGCTATAAGAGCCTTTTTTCCTCATGAGCCTTTACAAGGACTGCTTCTATTTCTCTCCAGGTGCAGCTGGTGGATTAGGACAGCGAATCTTTTGATTAACTGCCCAGCACATAATGCACTAAACCACCAGAGTCCCATTTAATGCATATTGTTGTTGAGTACCATCTAGTCAGAATCAACCCATAGTTGACCCTCCAGCAGGTTTTTAGAGGCAATAAATCACACGGTAATTGACTGCCCATCCTTCTCCCGCGGAGCAATTGGTGGATTCGAACCCCGTGCCTTTAGGTTGACAGGGCAGCCCCTTACCAGAAGACCACCAGAGCTCCATTTAATGTATATTATTCTTCACTAAAAGGAGTATTGATATATGCTACAACATGTACAGACCCTCAGAGCATCATGCTAAGTAAAAAAAGTCAGTCACCATTGCTTGAGAATAAGTTAGTGGTTAAGCTCTCCAAGAAATAAAATAAAAATAGTCACACACAGAACAAAAAAAAATCACATATTGTGTGATTTCATTTGTGTGAAAAGCCAGAATAGAAAAATCCATAGAGATAGAAAGGAGGCTGGTAGATGCCAAGAGCTGAGGAAGAAGTAAGGAGTGAATGCTAGGGATAGGGATTCTCTTAGGTGGTGATAGAAATGTTGTTGAACTACACAGAGGTGATGACTGGGCAACACTATGGTTGTGTCGTTGTTGCTGCTAGGTCTTATCAAGTCAATTCCAACTCTTTGTGACCATGGTAGAAGAGAAGGGGACACTGCCCCATACTGCAAAGTCATTGTTATGCTTGAACCCACAGTTCCAGCTGCTGTGTCAATCCACTCCACTCTGCCTCTCTCTCAATGACCCTCTGCTCTTCTGAGCATCATGGCTTTCTCCAGAGACGAGCTCCTCTGGTAACACGTCTGAAGGGTGTGAGACCAGATCTCTCCATATCCACTTCTTCTTCTTCTTTTTTTATTTAAATGAAAGTTTACAGAGACTTTGGATTTCCATTCATACAGTGTTGCACACTTTCCTCCCCACCCCTCCTCTCAGTTCGCTCTTCTCCTTGAAGAAAAAAAAAATCTTTCATTTTTATACAATCCTCCTCCCCCCTTCCCCAAGTCCACTTTACTATGCAGCTCTTATTCTGGACTCGTGTTATGAAAGTAATATCTAACCACATCCATCTTAATTTCTAAGCAGACTTCTTGCTGTATTCCTCCTAATACAGATTTGTTATTTTGACACTCCATAGTATATTCAGTATGATAGACCAATACCATTGTTCAAATACATCAATTATTCTTTGGTCTTCCTTATCCTTATCCACTGTACAGCTTTCCCATACAAGTGAGGTAATTGAAAATAGCTTACCTTGACTCAGGCACACCTTAGTCCTCAAAGTGACATCTTGGAAGTCTTCAGGTTGTGTCATCTGCATAGCCCAGTTGAGAGCTAAAGAGCAAAGATGTCAGTTTAAAGTTGAATGTGAGTTTGACCCAAACTGTTATTTTCAGTTGCTTCCAATGCATCTGAAAGTTGGACAGAGAGTCAAGAAGTCTGAAGAAGAAATGATGCCTCTGGCTCTGGACTGCGGTGTTGGTGAAGAGTACTGAATATTTCACAGATTGCCAAAGCACTAACAAATCTATCTTAGAGGAAGTGCAACCAGGATGCTACCTAGAGGCAAAGATGGAGAAACTACGTTTAACCTATTTCAGGCGTGTTGTCAGGAGGGGGCAGTACTTGAAGAGGGACATCCTACTGGGAAAGGTGGAGGGCCAGAGAAAGGAAGATCCTCGGCCAAGGAACTGACGCAGTAACTGTAGTAACGGGCTCCGCATTGTCAGAATGGTGAATACGGCACAGGATGGGAAAGGTTGAGACCCATTGTGCATAGAGTTGCTGTGAGTCTTGGTCGACTCAACAGCACCTAACAACATGTTGCATATTTTTATTTTGTTGTTGTGGTTGTTGTTGTTGTTGTTGTTGTTGTTGCTGCCATACATTGGCAGCATCATGATAGATGGCGAAGAGATTGAAATCTTTAACAGCTTTAGTTGGTTTGGCTCCACAATCAACACTCTTGGTACCAGCAGCCAGGAAATCAAGAGATGAATTACATTGGCAAAGTCTGCTGTCAGGGACCTCTCCAGAGTATTGACGAGCAACAACATCAATCTGGAGAATAAGATGTGCCTGATTCAGGCCATAGTTTTTGCAATTGCTTGCTATGCATCAGAAAGCTGGACAGTGACTAGGGATGATTGAAGAAGAACTGATGCCTTTGAGCTGTGATGTTGGAGAATAGGATTGAATATACCATGGTCTGCCAGGAGAACAAACGGTCATCCTGGAGAGAGTGAAACCAGGCTGCTCTTTGGAGGAAAGGATTCTGAGGATTCATCTGACATATTTTGGGCATGTTGCAAGGAGGGACCAGTCCTTGGAGAGGGACATCATGCTTGGAAGGATAGAGGAACAGCACAAGAGAGGAAGACCATTGATGGGATTGATTCAGTGACTGGGGTAATGAGGGTTGGTGTGTCAGAGACAATAAGGTTGGCACAGGATAGAGTAGGTTTCAAGCAACTCGATGGCACATAACAACAACAATACATATAATGTCTAACCATATCTGAATGGAATTTTTCAGGCCATTCTTCCCCTCATCTGTTCCAATACAGTGTTCTACCCACTTTTTTCCCATTTGTTACTTTTAAATGGCTACTTTTATGTTATGTAAATTTTAATTCCATTTTTCAAAGAGCATTTTCTTGGAAATTAGAACATATAATTTCTGCCTACAGGTCATTAGCCATACCTCTTTGCTTGATCACCCAACTGCACGGAAGTCTAGAAAATTTAGAGCTTAATGATGTGAGAATTTTATGACAACAGAAGAGGCAACAATTGCATGTTCCGATAGATGATTAGAAGTCTCAGTCACGTCCAATCAGGAGTCTTGAGGGTGTAGAGTGTTACCTGTGGGGCTGCTAGTCAAAAAGTTGGCAGTTTGAACCCACCAGTCACTCGATGGGAGAAAGCTGGGAGTCTGCTTCTATAAAGATTCACAGCCTCGGAAGCTCACGGGGAGTTCGTTCTGCCTATCAGGTCGCTGTGAATCAGAACAGGCTTCATTCTGGGCAGGGGGTTTGAGGGTTTTGGTGGTGAGAGAAGGGAAGTAAGCATGTTTACACTGATATCCGCAGTGGACAAAGGTGGACCCTGGCCCAGCCTGGCATCACAGGAGAAGCAAGAGAGTTGTGAGACAAGCTCTGAAATGAGAGGTCAGAGGCCTCCCACTGCAGGCCAACCATTTGGCCTCCATGACCTCACAGCTGGAGTGAGGGTCAGGGCAGCTCCCTTCCCTCTGGTGCTTTTAAAGGGTGGAAGTTGATGGATCTTTTGTGGGATCGGCACAACTCTTCCTTCTTCCCTTCACCCGGGTGAGGCTCATAAATATCCTGGAAGCCTATAAACTCAGAACCAGGCTTAGATGGTGGTGCCATCCCCCCTTTGCCCTTCCAGAGCACCTGTTGGCCAGGTGTCCTGTGGTTAATCCTCTGACAAGGGTGGGGTGGGGAAAGGACTCTGGGAAATCCACAGACAGGATCATGGCATCTTTGATCTCTGGGTTCAGCTGTGGGACAGCGAGTGAAGGAGGCAGAGAGAAAGGCATCGGAAACCACACCCTGTGGCTTCAAATGCATGCGTTCAACCATGGAAGTGACCTGCTCCTCCCCGGCACTCATTCCCCTGCACACTGCTATTTTGACGTGCGGTTTCTCCTTTCAGGTTCTTCGTCTCGTGTTCATCCAGATACAAATGTCAGGGCACAGATAATACATGATGAAACTTCACCGCTTAGGACACCATCTGAACTGAGGGTCCTACATGGGACTCCTTCTAGAACTGAAAACCGTGGCAGTAGGATCTTTGTTGTTGTTGTTGTTGTTATGCATTGTTGAGTCAACAACAACCCATAGCAACCCTATGGACAACAGCTCTGAACCCTGCCCTGTTCTGAGCCACTTTAATTCTGATACACAAACCTCCATTGCCCCAGTTACTGTATCAATTCATATCCTTTGGGGTCTTCCTCTCCTGTGCTGTCCCCTTCACCTTTCCAAGCATGATGCCCTTCTCCAAGGACTGGTCTCTCCTGGCCACATGCCCAAAGTGTGTAAGATAGAGCTTCCAAATCTTATCCTCCAAGGAGAAACTTGGTTTCACCCTCTCCAAGAAAGACCTATTTGTTTCCTTGGCAGTCCATGATATGTTCGAGACTCTTCTCCAGTACCACAATTCAAAAGCATCAATTTTTCTCCTGTCATCCTTAGTCATTGTCCAGCTCTCTGATGCATAGCAAGTAATTGAGAAGACCATAGGCTGGATTAAGGCTCACCTTAGTCTCTAGGCTGACATCACTGATTTTCAGTACTCTGGAGAGAGGTCCCTGACAGCAGATTTTCCCAATGCGATTTGTCTTTTGATTTCCTGACTGTTGGTGCCAAGACTGTTGATTGTGGAGCTAAGCAAGCTGTAATTGTTAACAACCTCAATCTCTTCCCCATCTGTCATGGTGCTGCCAATTGGCCCAGTGGTGAGCATTTTTGTCAATATAATAGGGCGGGTGCTTTAGGAGTCAATAAAACCTGGGTCTGTCCATTCTGGCTCAGTCCATTTTTAAATTTATGAACTCATCTAAGGTACTTTATCTCTCTGAGCCTCCGTTGCCAGTTTTTAGAGAATTTCATTGATGCTCTATGTCTCTGTACCACTCTACCTCTGTATCTATGTCCTCCTGGGTGTCACAAATGATCAAGGGCTCAACTAGCCCAAAAGGTTAGCAGTTCAAACACCAGCCAGAGGTGTCTCGGAAGAAGGGCCTGGAGCTCTGCTTCTGGGATCTGCCTGTTTGCTGCTTCTGTGGAAGCCCCTGCCTCAGTCCTACATTCGCACCACATTCTCTCCCTCTCCTCTTCTCTGTTCTCCTGAACAAAGCTGCTCTAACCAAATAGGATTCCTGCTCCTCACATCTTTGACAGCCTCTCTTCTCAACATCTGGGGTTCAATCTGTCACACATGTACCTGTCAAGATTCTTTGTTTAGCCAAGAACCAGTTAGACATCTTCAAGGGAATTTTCCTCTATCTATACAACTGAGTGTGGTTCCTCCCTGGCCAATGTGCACTTGTACCCTTCACTGGAGGAACTTTACCCAGGCCATCACTCATAATCACTCTTTCTTGTCTTCCTCACTGCTGAAACTCTATGAGAGTTAAAATTGCACTTCATGCACTCCCAACCTTGCAATGAAGACAGTTTCCTACAAATTGTTCTTGTCACTTGCCATGGAGTTGATGCCTACTCTTGGTGAACTAAGAGATAGCAGAACAAAACAATGCTAGGTCCTACACCATTGCCAGGAGGGACCAGTCCTTGGAAGGGTGGAGGGACAGAGCAGGAGAGGAAGACCCTGGATGAGATGGATTGACACAGTGACTGAGGTGATGGGATTAAGTGTGTTGGAGACAGTGAGATTGGCTCAGGACAGGGAGTCATGGGGTCACCATGACTCACAGTCAAGACTCCACAGCACATAACAATACCACTACTATCTTTATGATTATTGCTATGTCTGAGTTTATTATTGCAACTGCTAGTTTTCTTCATTTCCACTGAAATTTGGTAAATTCCACTTAGCAAACACGAAGCCCTTTTCTAGTGGATGGTCTTTCTGGATGATCTTCTCATAGACAAGCAAGATAATCTTTACTATTCTCACTTCTAAGATGCATTCCCATTGTACTTCTTCTAAGCCTTATTTACTAGTCTTTCTGGGTACTCTATATTTTTTTAAATGAATGTACCATGTTGTTGTTAAGTGTCGTCAAGTCGCAGGCGACTCATAGCGACCCTATGAAGGAGAGTCCTCAATGCTTGTGTGTCTTTCATCCTCTCTCCAGGTTCATAGGGCTTCCGGAGGCAAGCTATTATGGAAGTGAATGCCACTCCTCCTTCCAAGCTTGTTTTAATCGGGTTATGTGCCCAAAATGAAGGAATTTTGTTTCCGTTTTTGGTTTTAATTTTGTTTACAATGTTCTACTGTGACCCCTAAGATTTTCAGAAGTAGATAGATCATTAGGCCTTCCTTCTCCTGGGAGCTTCACTGCAACCTATCCATCAAAGGTAACAAGAGAGCTGAAATTCCAGTGTTAGAGCTTCAGCATCTTGGTATCCTTCACAAGCTGACTGTTCGCACTACCCAGGAACTTCTCTGGTTGCACAGATGAAGTGAGCCAGAAGCTGGCGGGTCGCAGAAGCTTCACAGACTATCGGGATTGTTGCTTGAAATCTTGTTTGTTGGTTCACCAGGAGGAGCAGTGAAAAGTATTCTTAGCAATAGGAAGAGTGTTTGCAGAAGTTTGACTGCCTCAAAGGGCAGAGCATTTTCTGTAAAGTTAAGTTGGGGAGTTGTTAGGTGCTGTTGGGGAAGCTGGGATTTGTAGTGACCCCACATACAACAGAGAAAACCCCTGCCTGGTCCTGCTGACACCCTGGAGCTCTCTGATATGCTTGAATCCATTGTTTCCAAACTGGAACAGATTCTTTGGATTATAATGTAATTGGTTCCTCTTGTAAGTTTGGCTTCCCCCTTACGGCTTCCTCCCCAGAAGATGGGGAGGTAATCTTCAGCAATCTCTGGCAATCTGCACTATTTCCCTATGCCACTGTTCCTTGCCTCTTGGCATTTCAAGTCCCCTTTCTCTCTCACGACTTTAGAACCAACATCTGTGAACTGGAATGTGTCTTCCAATCGACAAGCACATCACACAGACAAGTTCTACAGTTCAGAATTGATCTTGCGGAGAGGTCAGCCCTTCTTGGTCACATTCAACTACAATGGAAATGTGGACTCCAGACCAAATATGACATTCATCGTCTCCACAGGTACCCGCTCAGCCACCTTCCCGCTGAATAGTCCATGGGACTGTTGTACATCTATAGTGATAACACTAGAGTCACTGAGCTGTGGGCTTCAGTTCAACCCTGCCCTTGACTCAGAGTGACCTGGGGAAAGTTGCTGAAGAGTTACCATTTTCAGATAAAGAGGGATTTGTCTGCATGGTCCCTCAATAATGTTCAAAGATGGCATCCCCACAGCTTATACTGGAACACGATCTCTTTCCGCCATCTGTCCATGTGTCTCATGGTTTCCTCTCTTCTTTGACAGGGCCTTCTCCCTCAGAGTCAGCCAGGACGAAGGCTGTGTTTCAACTCTCCAGTGGCTCAAACAGTGGCTGGAGTGCACAGCTGCAGGCCAACCAGGGCAACAGCCTGATGATCGTCATGTCCAGTCCTGCCAATGCCCCCATAGGACATTACACACTAAGTGTTCAGAGCTCCTCCTCCGTCAGGAACCTCGGGACCTTCATAATCCTCTTTAACCCCTGGCTACAAGGTAGGCATTTAACCGCCCATACTCCCAGCCCCCCAGTAAACAGACCCAGTGGAAAGGAGATGAGGGAAGGACTTCTCATGGATCAGATTTAATTAGGAAAAGTTTGTCATCTCTGAAAAGAATCTAGAAGTCAAAAGCTATGGGGGTTTTCTTAAATTTTATTTTATTAATTTTAATGAACGTTTACAGAGATCTTGGATTTCCATTCACTCATTGTTGCGCTTTTTTCCTGACCTCCCCCACCGCCACCCCCAGTTCGCTCCTCTCTTTGAAAAGCAAAAGATAAACTTCTTCATTGCTATACAATCCCCCTACCCCCACCCCGAATGCACTCCGTTATGCAATCTTAATTCTGGACTCCTGTGATAACCATAATA